AAGAAGTTCTGCAAGTAAAAGTTTTGCAATTCGAAATTGCTCTTCCCCATGTCTTGCTTCCTTGTCCTTTTTACCAAGGGGACCCATTGTTCTTTCTGATTTGCACGAGCTCCTCAAGTGAGAGTCCTGGCTCATGAAGCAGATCGGAGCCTAATGGGGTTGCTGTCTGTATGTGATGAAAAGGTATGGGTCACAAGAAACTTCAAAAATAATCCTGTTCAAGTACCTGCAATGAGTTAGCATTAACTGAACCTAAACCCTTTTAGCCAGATGCTTGTGTAAGTCTCTTCTTAAAAAAAAGCCTTCCAGAAGAGTGATTTTATTACTTTTCAAGATATTTGCATGATTGGATGACCTTTTCCAGATATTAAATCTATACTGACTTTCTTCTGACCAGGCTTTCATGAAGGTTAAACCCACTCCTGGGCTTGATATTGGTTTACTTACTTGCACCTTCATGAAGTTGTTTATTTGCTATTCTGAAGAGGAGGTGATCAGACCTTGCAGCCTGGCTAAATACTGCACTGCTTCTTCTTTTTCTTTGGCGATCACTCGTAGCCGAGTAAGATTGTCTTCCATAAACACGGTTTTAACAATGAGTCCGTAAGTGACTGTGGAGGCCAATTCTGGATCCACTTGTTCTTCCATAGTGGGGACATTGGTTTCCGGGCAGGAGTTGATCAACGGTGTGGATTTGCCAAGCGTGCCTTCTTCTTAGCACGTTTCTCTCTTGCGTCCTGAGTTCGAGTGTCTTAAAAGTCCATGACACCTTTGGTAAAGTCTGTTCTCCAACTGGAGCGCTCACAGGCCAGTGTTTCCCAGTTGTCAGTGATTATACTACTTTTTTTTCAGATTTGCCTTGAGACAGTTTTTAAACCTCTTTTGTTGACCACCAGCATTACACTTTCCATTTTTAAGTTCGGAATAGAGTAGTTGCTTTGGAAGACGATCATCAGGCATCCGCACAACATGACCAGTCCAACAAAGTTGATGTTGAAGAATCATTGCTTCAACATGGTGATCTTTGCTTCTGCCAGTACACTGATATTAGTTTGCCTGTCTGTGCTGTGTAAAATTTTTCAGAGACACTGTTGATGGAATCTTTCGAGGAGTTGGAGATGGCGTTTATAAGTGGTCCATGTTTCACAAGCATACAGTAAGGTTGGTAGTACAATAGCTTTGTAAACAAGCATTTTGGATTCCCTGCGAATGTCTGCATATAGCCTTTGAAAAAGTTGGAGTTATGGTTTCACAAGCCTCCGGATGGAAGGTGATGGAAGTCCATATAATTGTAAATGCATCAGTCAGTTCTCTGACTTGAAGAAATGGGCTTCAGATCCGAGTTCTTTGAACTGGAGAGTTCCAGTTTCTATATTATTGTAAATGATTGTGAAAATCAAGTTTCTCTTAAAAGCTTGCTGCTATATTGTGACCAGAGAAATATGTAGTAAACGTCTTCTGCATGTAAATTATGCTCCCCACCTCTGTCATCCACTTTAAGCTTCAAATTTAAAAACATCACTGTACAAAAATTACCAGATTTTTGTGGCAATTAAAAAAAAAAAAAGATTCGGTGTTCGCAAATTAAAAGCTGAACCTATCAATTTATTTTAAAAAATTATATACCACCCTTAAGCAACAATTCTCTAGGGAAATTGACAAAATATATAAACAAAATATTATAAATAACAATATATATAGATGGCTGCTCCAATTTTTAATGCTCCTTTCACACTACAGAACCTATAGACGGCCATGTTGCACTAAGTTTCATTAGAAATCAGGATCACCCACTGTGCTCAGCTGCTGAGGGAAGGCGGTGATGGTTTCCAGTTGACTTTCCTTCAGAAAGTCCACTTGAGGAGCATTTCCTGCACCTTGCAGGGCATTGGCCAAATCCAATGCATAGCCCTACACAAACCTGCCATGATTTTTTCTGTTTCCAGGCTCGCAAACAGATTTTTTTCTGGAAGCAAACAACGTAGAAATTAGCGTTAAATTTGTGTTATATTCTGCTAGGTTTCTGGAAGTGACTTTATGGAAGTTCAGATTTAACACAGAAGAAAACGTTGGGAAGATGGAACCAACAGCTATGTGAATACAGCCAAAGGCAACTTCATATGCAGTGGAAGCGTTTGCATGTCAGATACAGCAAGCCCGCAACTTATACCGGGGGGGCGGGGGGCGGCGGGGGGGGTTACATTCCAGGGATCGCACCTAAAGCCAAAATTGCCTATACAGTGGTACCTCAGGCTAAGAACTTAATTCGTTCTGGAGGTCCGTTCTTAACCTGAGGTACCACTTTAGCTAATGGGGCCTGCTGTGCCACCGCCACGCAATTTCTGTTCTCACCCTGAAGCAAAGTTCTTAACCCGAGGTACTATTTCTGGGTTAGCGGAGTCTGTAACCTGAAGCATCTGTAACCTGAAGCGCCTGTAACCCAAGGTACCACTGTAGTCAAAACACATTGGGTGCGATGGCGGGTGTGTGTGCGTGTGTGTGGGTGGGTGGATGCCCACACCCTTTATTTATTTTTATCTTTTTGCCAAGTGCGTAAAGCTGAATCTGCGCAAGTTAAATGTGTGTAAGTTGCTGGCTAGTTATATTACTCTGATTATATGTGAGGAAGCAGTGGGAGATTGAGTTGATGAAATTATGGAATTAGAGGATAGGTTGTGAAATGATCCTGAGAGGAGGAGGAGAAGAAGAAGAAGAAGAAGAAGAAGAAGAAGAAGAAGAAGAAGAGGAGGAGTTTGGATTTGATATCCCGCCTTTCACTCCCCTTCAGGAGTCTCAAAGCGGCTAACATTCTCCTTTCCCTTCCTCCCCCACAACAAACACTCTGTGAGGTGAGTGGGGCTGAGAGACTTCAGAGAAGTGTGACTGGCCCAAGGTCACCCAGCAGCTGCATGTGGAGGAGCGGAGACGCGAACCCGGTTCCCCAGATTACGAGACTACCGCTCTTAACCACTACACCACACTGACAGAAGGAGCAGGCGAATTCACTCAAAACAAGGACTTAACCCTGAGTGGTGCAGCATCTTTGTGGGAGGAGAGCATCAGCTGCAGGCTTTGCTGTGGGAACTTTTTTCTCGTTCACACCAAATCATGGTTTTGCTCAGCATTATGTGCTAACCAGGTCCCAGTCTTTTAATTTTCACCTAGTAGCTGTGAAGTTGTGCATTTGGGAAACAATTTCCGTTTCTTTTGATAATCTTGCTGAGTGTTCCCTTTGAGGTCTTTGAGCATCATTGGGATAAGCTGTTATCCTCTGAAATAATATTTTTTTATACATAACTTATTGTGCAACGTTTACTGTGCTTTTTTGAAAAGGAAATAAGATTCCATAGATATTCAGGACACCAAGGGAGTTTCTGAAGATGGAGGAATACAATACATGTATTCCCTTGATTTTTGGGCAGGGGGAGAGACTTTCTTCCTCTTCCACACAATGCAACACTGAAGCTACAATTTGAAGATCAGTGTGTGGGGAGACAGTGTGTTCTTAATACTTTCCTTTTGTGCTGTTTTCCCACTGAAAATTATCTCCCCTGCCCCAGCCGCCTTTTATGCCCGCCAGGTAGAAGATCCAGGTATTCGGAGAAATAAAAACCAGCTCTGTGTATGTATTGTTTTCAGTGTAAAAATGATACAAGAGGGAAACATTAAGAAGCTGCTCCCTGCCGCCTCTGATTTACTTCAAATTGTAGCACAAATAACTACATTCTGTCCTTCTCATAGAAGCCTAGATGACCCCTGGGGTCCCTATCGACTGTACGGTTCTAGGATTCTACGCCAGGTATACCTTATTTTACAAACAAACTGGTGGTTGCTTAGAATTCAGTCCTGTTCTCTGCTATTCTTATGCCGCGAGAGCAGTGTATCCAGGCTAAGGGATTAAGTACATTCTTCTTTCCTACTCCCCTTCCTGTTCGCCCCTGGTCAAACAAGTGTACAGTGGTACCTCGGGTTACGGATGCTTCAGGTTACAGACGCTTCAGGTTACAGACTCCGCTAACCCAGAAATAGTACCTCAGGTTAAGAACTTTGCTTCAGGATGAGAACAGAAATTGTGCCGCCGTGGTGCGGCAGCAGCTGGAGGCCCCATTAGCTAAAGTGGTCTTCAGGTTAAGAATAGTTTCAGGTTAAGAACGGACCTCTGGAATGAATTAAGTTCTTAACCCGAGGTACCACTGTATCTCAGCTAAATCATTCACCCAACCTCTGCCATCCAACCTCTGCTTAAAAACCTCTAAGGAAGGACAGTCCAGAATCTCCTGAGGAAGCCTGTTCTACTTTTCTTCCGCAATTCCCAGACAGCAGCCACTCCCACTAGTTCCTCAGAAGTTGTTTATGTATTATTTATTTATTGCGTTCATATCCCACTTTTTTCTTCAAGATGCTCAAGGTGACTGATATCGTTCTCCCCCCCCCCATTAATCCCCACAATAACCCTGTGAGGTAGGTTAGGCTGAGAGGCAGTGACTGGGCCCCCAAGGTCACCCAGTGAACTTCCTGGCCTGTGCGGGGATTTGAACCCTGGTCCTAGACCAACACTGTAACCATTACACTAAACCGCACCACCGAAATGCCTAAACTAATAACTAAAAGCACAACTGGTGCTGTTGCAATAAAAGTGTGGTATTGTTCTCACAGTCCTCTGTTGGCTACAGCCTATAAGATTATTGAAATATTGTTTGCTCCAGAGATGGTGGTGGTGAGGCGAGCATTATTTGTTTACATAATTGTGTTGATTATAGAATCATAGAATTGTAAAGTTGGAAGGGCAATCTAGTCCAACCCCTGCAATGCAGGAATCTCAACATGACTTCTCCCATCCAATTTGAACCCATACTGGATCCTGCTTAGCTTTGCAAATGTGCTGGCAGCTTTATTGCTGCACAAGTTCTAATCTTTTCCACAGGAACACATGTAAAATGATTCAGTTAGGTAGCCGTGTTGGTCTGACGCAGTCGAAATAAATTTTAGAAATTTAAAATTGTCCAGTAGCACCTTAGAGACCAACTAAGTTTCTTTTGTGTGCATGCATATCGTGTGTTTCTGAAGAAGTGTGCATGCAAAGGAAAGCTTATACCCAGAACAAACTTAGTTGTTCTCTAAGGTGCTACTGGACAATTTATTTATTTATTTTGACATTTAAAAGGGTGTAAAGCAACGTCTTCATCATTTCAAGATTTTTTTTAAAAAAACTTTTGCACAATCTTGACCCCCTTAGGAATGATATTGATTAGACCAATATCCAATATATTAAGATAGCCAAGTCAAGTTTACTCCCCCATTGACTTCTGTAGGACTAATGGAAGGGACTGCTGCTTGGAATTATTGAAGAACAGGCAGCAGCTGCTTCAACCAATAATAGCTAGTCAGCCATTTCTCCAGTTCCAGTTTTTCTGCCATGGTGCTGCTAATACTGGATTAGGGATATTTCTATAGTAATGCCAAGGGACAATTGTTTCCCACCGTGGGAGTGAAGTGGTGCAGTGGATTTTGTACCTAAGACAGAATAATTAATTCGCTATTCCTCAGTGCAGGGAAACCTCCAAAAAAGTCAAATGCCATTGCAGATTTAGCCTGAGACTTCTCCCAAGAATCAGACATTACAAAACCCAGGCTTTGGGATAAACAGCCTGGAGGTACAAGCTATTTCACTTTGGAGAAACATGAAGACATCACTTTCCAGGTTTCCATGGTTATGTGCACTTGCAGGCTCATCAGCGACCCAGTTAAACTAAAGTACTCACATTTAAGCTTATTTAGTTGCATGTGAAGAGTCAGGGAGGCTACGGTTCGCTTAAACCAAAGTACTTTGACTCCACTTAGCTGTGGAATGCGTTCGGAGCAATAAATGCAAATTAAATCCATCCTCACAATGGAGGTCTGAGGATTTTCAAGAATGCATACATAGAAAAAGAGTGAGTCAGAAGGACAGGGCAGCTCAGCCCTATGGTCCCATTACAAGCTGTTGGCTTTGTCGATCCCAGTGGAACTTACTCCTTTGTAAACACGCATAAGATAAACCTGGCGGTAGTTACTTTGGCTCTGCTTGTGATGGTTCAGCTGTACCCTGTTCCGCTCAGCTCTAACAACAGTGAAATGACAATAAGGAAACCTCCACTAGTGACAAGTTATTCTCATAGCAACAGCACAGCTACCCCAATCAATCTCATTGCCACATGTGGACGACTCCCCTAGGATTTACGCATGGAAGAAACCCAGTTGCTATGCAGCAATGTCATGACAGCACAGTAGGCAAATATTAACTCGTTCCTTCTGGTCTCACCTGCTCTGTGGCTAGTGATATTTGCGGAGACAGAAGATAGCAGTTTTCTCTCTTGGAGAACCATAAACGCTGATAACATACAGCAGTGGTTAGGAATGCCGCAGCCTAAGTAACTGGGAGTTGTTGTTTGTTTGCTTATGCAGCGTGATCAGTGTGCATGGCACCTCACAGAGCACAGCTTCCTGCTCGAAGGAGTGAGTTCAGACCCTGCTTCAGGCATATGGAAGATGGTGCTATTTTTCCTCTTTCATGTCTATCAAGTTTCTATGGTCAGTACCTCTCTAGCTACACCTAATCAGTTCCCAACGTTGCATTGAGCCGTGGGACACGATTCAAGAGAAGCTCTGCAACCACTACACGCCAAAGCCGCCCAAGATTGTTGCCCGCCATGCGTTCTACCACCGGAACCAGGCAGAGGAGGAGTCAATCAACAACTACACCACCGCCCTCCGACAGGCTGCAATGCACTGCGAGTTCTGAGACTTAGACGATGCCTGATGGATCAAATTGTTTGCAGGGTCCGGGACATCTGTCTGCAACAGCGTCTCCTCGCCAAGCCAGACCTCACGCTGCAGAAAGCAATTGAGGAGGCTGTGGCCTCAGAAGCTGCTGAACTCTCCGCCCAGGAAATCCGCAAGGCCACTGGTACTGGCCCTCGGCGATCCAGCAGGGTTTCCAAGCATCCATCATATTTAAGAGACTATGTTCACTGGACAAACTGCACATGTAAAGCTGTATGGTGAATAGGGTCAATTAATATGCTTATGTGCCTTACTGAAACCAATAAGGGTATTGCTGTATGTAATGGAACCACTATGATTATAACTAATGCCTTATCTTGGTGGGGAGGGTGTTATGTATTGAAGTTCTCACCCTGGCCAAAAGGAGTATGGTGTAGATAGTTTTCACTCAGGTCCACATCAGTTACTTTAGGTGGGAAACCCTGGGTTGTTGTTGCTACAATGTTGACAGCCGGCTGCCTATAAAAGCAGGCCGGCTGAGCTGTTTGCTGTTCAGTTCTGTTCCAGCTTACAAATAAAGAGCTGCTTTGGAGAAATCGCTGTGTCGTTTGCTATGTCTACCCACCATTTAACATTCTACATGACCCAGAAAGGGAACCTAAGTGTGGAGAGAGAGAGAGAACTTTTTCATTCTCAATGGCCCCAGGGGCATGGAGCAAGCTTACTATTCACCCAGCCTCTCCTACATGCACCCATTTACTCTCATCCTTTTATGTAAGTGAATGGTTGCCATTCATTTCTGAGTAAACAATTTAAGAGCTCCAGGGGCGTACCTAGGGGGTTGGCTAGGTTGGCCTCTGCCAAAGGTGCAGGCCCATGGAGGCACAAAAATTGCCCCTCTCTACTCTGGTTAGGAACCTGACCTCCCATCCATGTGCTCAGGCAAATGGACCAATGGAAGAGGAGAAGGGGAGGCAGAGGAAAACAAACCCAACCGCAATGGCTGTGGAGGAAGTCACTGGCAGAGTATGAAAGGTGCCAAAACGCAAACTTTTTGAGCTTATGGTCCATGGTCTCTCCCGGCTTCAGAGTCACTGCTACATCCCCTTGCCAAGGATGCGAGGGAGCCTAGGTAGGCCTCTGAAGATCTGTACTTGGGGACACTGCTATAATGATGGGAAAGCTGCCCTCTCACTCCTGATACTTCAGAAATACGTAGAGCAAAAAGAAACACACTTTCCCAAAGGCCCTTGCCACTTTCCAGCTCTCTTTAGATATACACCAACCATCATGATGAATGACACTTTGCTTAAAATAAAATTTTAAAAAACTAATTTAGGTGTGAGAGTGTGTGTTTCACTAACACTGCAATGTTTGAGAAGGTATCTATGAACATTTGTATAATATTTATTACAGTGATCAGCTCTGCAAACATTTGAGTTTCTTGCTACTGTGCATCTTTCGTTTTGCCCCAAGAAATGCTCTTTTTACACACTTCAGTTTCACCTTTTGTTAAATTTTGAGTGCAGGAGGAGCCCGGCAGTCACATTTTATATTTATATTTACACAGAGCAGCCAAATATTATGTGTCTCATGTATAGTTATGGCTTCCGCATGCCCTCTTCATGCCAGTCTGAATTCTCATGTATCTTGGCTGGGCTTCAAGATGACAAGTGATATATCATGGCAGCAACTTCTCCTTCTCTGCCAGGGGAAACAAACACCAGCGCTTTCTTTGCTTCTAGTAATCTGCCATAGTGGAAATATAAGACAGTCGAATAGTATGATGCTAATACGATATACGTGTATTGAGGTGATGTTGAAAACGTGCACGCTTGGACTGCATGATTCTGCTGTGCTACTTAAAAAGTTATTTTGATGATTCTTTCCCTTATCCCTAGAAAAAATATTGTGGTGCACTGCATAGGGAGTCTTGTCTGGATGTGATGCCTGATTGATGCAAAAACATGGTGTTTTTGATTCTGATGCTTATATCTTATAAACTAGTTTGATGGCCTTTTTGACAGAAAAGTGGCTAAAAACACAGCGATGACTAAGTACAAGGTTTCCTTTATGTCATTTTCATAAAATAATCCAAAACAGCAATTTTCCATGTTGCAAGTTAGTTTTGTTACAACCCTTTAATTTGTAGCATACATAAAGAAGCAGATTATGATATGAATTTACGTCGTCTAAAGTGCCTAGAACTGTTAATATTAGGTGTTAAAATCCATGGATGCTGCAAAAAATGCATTAGCTCTTATAGTTTTATTTATAATTGCATATAATAATTCAAACATTTCAGTGTTTGTTCGGCTTCTCCAACAGACACAGACACCCTCCAAATATCTGCTTTCCTATTTTTACACAGAACAGAAGTACAGTGGTACCTCGATTTACGAATTTAATTCGTTCTGGAAGTCCGTTCTTAAACTGAAACCGTTCTTAAACCAAGGCGCACTTTCCCTAGAGGCCTCCCACCGCCAGTGCCCTTCCGCCATTCGGCTTCCGTTCGTAGACCGAGGTAAAGTTCGCTAACCGGAACACTACTTCCGGTTTTGCGGAGTTCGTATACCGAATAGTTCATAAACAGGGCTGTTCTTAAACCGAGGTACCACTGTAACTGTTGTTTCTTTTCTTTTCTTTTCCTTTACAAATTGATATAATAGTTAGCTAGCATTGAATTAGTTGCACTTCTTTAATGAGCTGCGGTTACCTACGCTTGTAAGAATTCTCATTCAATTGTTGGTTTTGCTCTTAAAGTAAATATAAAAGTTCAGGAGCAAACAAATACGGGTTGCAAGGTGGGAGGCGTAAAAGGCAGGGAAGAAAAAAAAGATAAGGAACATTACCATCTCCCAATAGAGCAGAATAGCTTTAAAGCTTAGATGCTAAACCTTTCAAGTGACAGACTTGCCGGTTCTAACCTGAGCAGTAACTAACCCCTGTGCACACGGTATGTAGCCGTTTCTGTCGAGACTTTAATATTTTTCCACTGCAGGACTCTTTAAGGATCTATCTCCTTCACAGCTGTGCCCTTGTTAGCACTTGAGGAAGGGCCCTAGCTCAGCTCCAGAGTGTGCAGAAACCCCCTGGTTCATCCCCTGACATCTCCAGCTATAGCTGGGAAAACCACCTTCCTGAAACTCTGAGAGTGCCCTTGGCAGTAAGTGGAGACAGTTCTGAGTTTGATGAACCAGTTGTATGACTCTGTATAGGTGGATTCTAGTAAATCCCTTCCCCACACCAGTGACAGTTCAGTGCCCCTCGCGAGACGGATCTCTTAGAACTGTGTTTTCCAAACTTGGGCCTCCAGCTGTTTTTGGACTACAGTTCCCATCATCCCTGACCACTGGCCCTGCTAGCTAAGAAT